ACGTCTGTAGCTCGTCGTCGGGTGGGCCAAAGTCAATCCCGTGCCCGGAATAGCGAAGACGAAGAACACTTGCTAAGGAAGAAGTAAAAACAACAGTCTTGAGTGAGAGTTGACGAGCGTCCTGGTCAAGCAATCCAGGCGCTCGAACTTCGATCTTGCGTAGGCACGTCTGTAGCTCGTCGTCGGGTGGGCCAAAGTCAATCCCGTGTCCGGAATAGCGAAGACGAAGAACAGTTGCTAAGTAAGAAGTAAAAAGAACACTGTTTAATGGGTTAGTCTCGTCCTATGTCAAACGCTGTGGATCTTGAACGCCTGCTACCACTCTCTCCCATCCCCGGGTATCACTGGCTCTTTGGTCGGCTGTTTGCGTCACTGGCGGGTCCAGATCGTGGGTCCTTTACCTCATGATCGTATAATCCCTCCCAGACTCGATAAATTGTAGGTACAATTGACTTGGGCAGGTGTGATGTATACCACACTTGAGATCGCCATCGGTTTGGACAGGTTTGACATGGACCACACCAAGATCGCCATAATGGGTGGTGGTCGATCTTGATTGATTGGAACTGATAGCGCCCAGTCTCGGAATATTCTGAATCTGCTTCACCACACTTCCTACTGTCTTATCAATACAATTCAAGTATAATAATACAGCAGCAATTACACAATGGGAATCTGTATTAGTAGGTTAGCAGCTATTATATCTGCATCTACTCAAAGCTTTCGTAGTCTTCAGGAATTTCCAGTTTCGCTGGTGGGGCATGCTGAGAGGCTGTCTGGCGGAGGTGTTTTATATCCTCGATACGCCGGATATAGCGTGCAGCCTCACGCTTGGTGCCTTCAATAAAGGCTAAAAGGCCAGGATGTGTACTCATTCGGGACGCAAAGTCACGATTGTACTTCTCCAATGGATTGTTGGTACGGTTGATCACATCAACCCCAACACGCATCATCTCCTGAACATTCCACGTCGTAGCGTCATACCTTTCCATCCAAGTCTTTAAAAAATACTTCCAGAATGCATTCCACTTTGTCTTTGCTCTAGTTTCGTCGACAATACTGCGGATGTATCTAACACTCTAAAAAATTGCCAAAAAAAAGTAGGATCCTAAATATTTTACCATAAAAAACGTCAGAGTCAAATTGTAAATAAGTATGATCAAAATATAATAGTCCATACTTTTTTTGCGATTTGGTCCACAGGGATGACAGCAAGCGAATCAAGTTTGCCGGGGCCGAGCGCGCTTTTGATTTGGCTGTCTGGAATACGTAGATCGACCATTTTACGGCGTAGTACCTGTTTCCAGTGAAACAGGCACCCTACGAGGTTAGCACGGGGAAACTGATCCAGAACTGCGTTAATTAACGCCACTTCAAAGTCACACGTGACGTTTTCAGGCTCCAACTGCCTGTTGCTCAAAATGATGAGCTCATTTAGCACCCGCCAATTCATATCTTGCGACTTGCCTTGGACCAACAGCTACCAAATGGGCACGTAGAGATTGATGGCAGGCTCAAATGCCATCACAATCAGGCATTGGCTGAAAGGTTTGATAACCACCGAAAAGGTGCCGTCTATGAAAAGGGTAATTTTTGGATACCGCTGTATCAGACTCAAATCAGGGTGCCCAAAACCGATCATGCGATGGATTCCGGTGGTCGCATGTGTGAGGTACACCACACTAAACTGGAGAAAGGACCTAGGGTCCTTGTCACTTACACAGCGTACTGATGGAGAGAGTATGGCCTCGTATACATCGCCACCCGTACACTCCTTGCGTGTCTGCTTCACTATAGAGACGGCAGGTGCGCATGGGATGATAGTGAGCGTGGCGTCGTCGGCAGCGTGGAGTCGCTTGATCCCGTCGTACACCTCTTGCCAGACAACTGGTGGAGGGGTAGCCATGTTGCTGACGCTGCGTCGCTGTAGCTCTAGGCGCATTTCGCTGCGCACATCAATGACATGTGGCACCGCCACGTCGCACGTATGTAGAGCCCCGTCTGCTACAACTGCACCTGATCGGACAGTTATCTTTGCCTTGCATCCTTTGCGAAACCTCTTGCAGACGTAGTAGACAGTGCTCGTTTCAGGACACGAGCGCTTGATGCAGAAGGAGTAGCCGCGATGGTCCATGGTGCTTAGCTGCCGTGGTGGAGATTGATAAATGGTTGGTAGTGTGCCTCTGGACAATAAATAACGCTAATGTGAGTACTAAGTAACTCTTATGTAAATTTACGAAGATAGTAAAAAGAAGTCAATATTTGAGTTTTAGGATAATGTGGAGGACACAAAATATATTATTCTGTAACGAAGGATTAGTCGCTTTTTAAGACACATCTCCAAAATCTTACTGTTAAATTTAGGACAAATAGGACACTTTCGGACGTGTCTTAGGACGCATTATCCTACACCGTGGAAGCGTGCCCTGCAACTACGTTGGAAATCCGAATTCCACCACCGAGCTCTTCTCCATACCAAATGCGGTCCTGTTGTTTATCCGGTTCGCAATTGTCAGCGTCGTGCAGTCCTGAGCTCTTCACGGATACTCTGCTGGATTTGGCGAATCGCCAGTGACGATCTTTCTCGAGGTCGCTCGGTGCAGTGACCTCAACGATTAGAACCACTCGAACGCTTCAGTAGCGCGCGAGCAATTGACACGAGCTGGCGTTCACTCACACTGAAATTCGAGTCCTTTAGTCCATGGAATCGTGCAGCGAGGTAATCACCTTCTACAGCAGCGCGCGCTTTACAGACGTTCGCCTCGTCCAAGAACTGGCCGAACGGGTCCAAATCTGAACGCACCGCGCCCAAGGACAGCACGATATCCTGCGGGATTATAGCGATGTTGGAACACAAGTCGTGCAGCCCGATCTTGCTGATGCCCGCACCGTCAATCGCGATGGAGATAGCGAAACGCATGAGACCTACATTCAAGCAGCTCAGAATCGGTACGACTGGTAATGCTGGCCTTCTCCTTCGCGTTCACACTAAACGTGAGTCCACGAATCACACGAGGCAGACCAGATATCAACGATATTTAAGCTACGACTAAATGGGCTCCAGTCGCCGGCCAGTTGAACGGCGGCTTCTCAACTGCAGTGCTAGTCGAAGCCGCCTCCATCGGCATCTCTGTGCACGACTGAATATTCTCCAGACAACATCTGACTCTACAACTAACTGGTAATGCTCATCGTCCAGTTCGTCCAGTTAAGGTCTTGAGCTACATTAAACCCAAACGTGAGCGACACACCGATCAGTCAATCGAATGAGAGAGAGCAAAAACTGGTCATTTAACGTAGAGAGCATCAGTCCAGAAGCGTAAGTCCAGAAGCGTAAGAGGCAAATAATTCACGGTAGCCCATATGTAAACCTCATTAGCGATTGTATCGCAAGTGCATTCGAACCGTAAAATGCTTCCAGTTCATTTTGGATTTCGTCTATCCGACTTGGATTTTTACGCTTGCAATATTTCGATGTAGGAAATTTGTCGACTAATGTGCACGTCGATTTGCATAGAAACCGCTATATTTGAACGACGAATTCCATGAAAATAAGCATTTCACTAGGTTGCTGGATAATCTGTACGTAGGGATTCTGGCCAAAAAGTAGGTTATGAAATGTTTCCGTAATGAAAACACGATAAAACACCGTGATCCACATTCTATTGCTTTCAACTAGAGCAACGTGTCTGTCCGTCATTCCGTCCGTGGCTAGGGTTAGCAAGGCAGAACGCAAATCCATGCATTCTACTGGCCGCCGAGCGCAGCGAAGGCGTTCCCTATTTGCTAAAACCCAATTATGTAATGTACATTGTGTATGTGATCTACATTTCGTACTTATACTATGTTCAAACTTCGTATTACCCCCATTTCCAAAACCGGAAGCCGCGGAGCGCTATGCCACGCGAGGTACGCTGCGTATATGCATGTTAGTTTACATTAGTAGACATCAAGACCTGCATGTATAGATAATCCGAGAATCCTGGGGCTGCTTAGGGGGAAGCTTATAACTTGGAGGATTTTATCCTGTAAATAGGTCGCCGTACTATGGGGATTTAGTCCTGGAACCCTCTGGGATTTCGGTGCATTATCCCACCGCCCACTCTGCGTGAGAGCACATTTTGGAACCTGGTCCAATGCCCACAAACTCGACAGCGAACCAGTTGAGCTGGTCGTTAATGGTTATTGATAGGCACCCACATTGCGTGCGTGCAGTTGGTAGAGGTACCGTAACTCGCCTCATATTACCAACAGATGGGGGGATAATAGCCTACCAATAATCAGCCTTTTCAATTAACGACCGCCTATTGACTAAAAGATATCGAAACCCTCAAGCTACAGTACTACCCAGGGCCCAACCCTGAAAATTTGACTGCACAATTTGCAACTAAAACCGCTTTGGGCCTCACGGCCCGTGACTGTGGGATAATTGATCGGTGATACCCTTGGCGGGAGCAAGCAATCCTGGGTAGCACGCAGACATCCAAGGCCCTACTTTATGAAAGCCTACTGCTGCGTGCGGTGTTCTTAGACTATGTCTAACGCGCCACGATTTCGTGTTCGCAGAACAATGGCTCGACTAAGCGTAAGAGGGCGCATGAGGAACTCGAGGAGGCCTTGCGCGAGAACGAGCGTGTCTACGCGACCCCTGTGCAAGAGGACAAGGACGCGCGAAAGCGACGTCAGACCAAGCGAAGGAAAAGGGTTACGACTTGAAGCGCTAACCGGCGATTTCGGTTTATTTTCATCCCCGGTTGTACCACAAGATTCAGTTCAAAAAGCGGCCAACGTCTCGGATACACAGCGTGCTCGCAAAAGCCGAGCTAACATGGCAATATCTCAGAAAGAACTCAGACAAGCTAATGGCGCAGAAAGGCTCGGGCAAGATGAGCTTATTTGACTCTCTCTCAGCGTGACCGGGCAAGGATGAAAGACTCTGAGCGTAAACGTGTGAAGAGCTCGACTGCGCGGAGACGAGCTTCAGGGACGATGAGAGCAAGAAAGAAAACAGCAAGCGGTAGACAGAGCAGAACTTACGGAAGAACAACGACAGCATGCACGCGAGCTAAATCGTCAACAGTGTGCCTTTCGGAGAGCAGATATGCCGGAAGATGACCGGGAAGCTGAACATGAACTAGACCGTCAACAGCAAGTATTGTGAAGAGCAGAGATGCCTGGAGAGGACCGGGAAGCTGAAAGCGAGCTAAATGGTCAACAACATGTGTTTCGAAGATCGGATCTTCCAGAACAAGAACGGGAAGCTGCGCGCGAGTTAGACCGCCAACAACATGCGGATCGACGCGCGCAACAGAGAGAAGACAACACTGAGTTGAACTGGAGTGGCTGCGGACAAAACGACAGTGTACCCGTCACGACACGCCCTTATTTCCCATGAAGACTTTGATGAAACGATGGTCACGGGTGACGATGTGATCAACGGGCGACACAAACTGCCGCATACAACAGTTTGTCCGCACTGCAACGCGTGGAAGTTTGCGGACGAGTCTGCATTACCATGCTGTCTAGAAGGCAGTGTCAAGCTGCCTCCCCTACGTCCAGCTCCACCTATATTACTCCAGATATATGGAGACCCTGAATTCCCTCGCTGTGTCCGTCCCTACAACCAAGCATTCGCTTTACGACAATTGGAGCGTCCTGTTCGAATCAATCTTTTGAATGCGTATGCCAAGACGAAAGAGTGGCAGGCGCACGAGGTATTTACGTTTATCGCATTGGTGAAGCCATGGGACACTACTTAGGATCCCTACTGCCGCCGATCGACCCTCAGACAGGCGAGTGAGCAACCCCAAAGTTTGCCCAGATCTATATTGTGAACCCCTACATGCAGCGCCGCGCGCAACGACGTATGGGGATTTTTGGAGACCTCGACCATGTTGCGCTGCTGGACATTGAGAAAATGATGGCAGAGCACAACCCATTAGCCAAGGAGTTTCTCTCCTTCCGGGAGCAAGTGCGTCAACACAACACAAATGGTGTTGTTGATTTGGTGTTTCGCCTACACAACAATTCCGCTGGGCATCGAACGCATAATCGTCCTGCAGTGTTTGAGGTTGCAGAGACTTTCATTGAGGATGGCAATTTGACTCAGCCTCGGGATTTACTGCTCTATACCCAAGATCACAAGCTAAAACGTTTGTTTGAGACCGAGGCTAAATACAATCCAATCCAATATCCACTTCTACTTCCGTACGGCGAGAAGTGTTTGCAATGGCGCTGAGTATCGCAACAAAAAGAAGATTTTGCTTCGCGAGCACGTTGCTTACCATCTCCACCAAAAGATGGGCGACCAGCCTGCTCTTCACCACGGCGGGCGTCTGTTTCAGCAATGGTGCGTTGATCAGCGCGCAAAATGCGATCAGGGACAGCTTCGGTGGGTGGCCACGAACCAGAACAAACTTCTAGCCCACCAATACATAGGTGTCCAGGATGCGCTGCTCAACGAAGATACTAAAGCTCTGAAGGAAGGAGGAATACTGCTGTCGGAATACGATCGATTTGAGAATAGATTGGTTCACCTGGACCGGAACAAAGAAAGAAGAGGAGGGTCAACTCATTTACTCAATCAGGTTGGCAAGCGTGTGCTCCTACCAGCATCACACCTGGGTAGCCCACGATCGATGTACATGTCATATCAAGATTCAATAGCAATTGTTCGAGAATATGAACGACCTGACGTCTTCGTGACCGAAACGTGAAACCTCAAGTGGGACCGGATCCTCGAAGCAATCCCTTCCGAGCTCCAAACTGCCCAAAACCTTCCGGATATTGTGCCGCGTGTGTGGCAGCAGAAACTGCAAGCAACACTTGACGATTTAAATGAGGGTGTTCTTGGGAGAGTTCGAGCGCGGATTTACGTTGTTGAATTTCAAATAAGAGGGCTTCCACACGCTCACGTATTGATTATCTTGGTCGACGAAGACAAACCTCGGACACGCGAGATCATTGACAAGATGGTATCTGCTGAGATTCCGGACAAGGGGATGAACCCACAGATGTATGAAACTGTTATGTCGTGCATGTTGCATGGTCCCTGTGGAGCTGCCAACCCTTCGTGTTCGTGTATGAAGGAAGGGAAATGTACAAAGGGATATCCGAAACCGTTAGCGGATGTCACACGCACCAATGCCAATGGGTATCCAGTCTACAGACGGCGGCGACGACCAGAAGGTGTTCTCAAGTTCAAAGGCAGGAAATCCGGCAGCGCCACGATCAACCAGTGGGTTACACCATATAGCCCGTACTTTTCCGAATGTAGAACTGTCACATCAATGAGGAGG